TACATTCATTTACCTCTAACTTTTTTCTTCAACAGCCTTCCGCAAAATGATGTATAGAGCTTTTGTAGGTTTTGTTATTAGCTACAAATTTTGTTAAAAAGTCAAATTCGTATCTCTTATGCATGACGAACCAGAGCGAACAGAAGCCACTACTGTTTTTCAGTGAATGTATTTAACATTCACTGAAAAACAGTAACAAGTTCTACCCGCTCTAGTTCGTGATGCATTAGAGATATAGATTTGAGTTATGAGCAAAAGTTGTAGCTAATAACAAAACCTACAAAACTCTACCTACTCTATACATCTTTTTGTGGGATACTGTTGATGAAAAAAGTTAGAGGTAAATGAATGTAAATGAATGTATGAAATGAATGCAAATGATTTCCCACCCTATTGTACATACTTGGAAAAATGGTCATGAAAACAGCAAAACGTAACAAAACATTGAAGTACTATATTAGAACACTCATTAGGCATCCCCTTGGATCCCCCTATGTAGCAGTAGGGTATAAGTTGCTGAACGAAATTACGTCGAGGTTAGCTGCTAATACCTGGTAAGCTGCAAGATACACCCTTTAAAGCTTGTGTTGAAGAATAATAAATACGTATGTAAATTCTTTACATGAAGAGATACCGATTTGCATCTTTGAACAAAATTGTGCATTTTTAGAGCACTTACAGCTTTGTAGAACATATACAAAATTTAAAAATTCAAATTAAAAAGTTATGGCAAAAAAACGGTTTTTAAGGGGTACTACCGTTTGTATTCCATTTTCACCCTATAATTTCGTCCACTTGAGAGATAGAAAATTGACGTCTTGGACAATGTTTTTTTAAATGATTTCATCTACAATATTAGTCCCACTTTTTTTGCTTTCGTCCCACTGTGCGACGGGGGAGGGGGGACGATCTAATATTGGTCATAAATATGGTACGTAATTGAACTGAAGTTTTTCAGGAAACACCGCTCACTGGTGCTCAAAACAGCGATTTGTGAAATCGAAACAGTCCAGCGATATAACGCGACTTAGTTTTTCATTTCCTTTCGAAGCTACGTAATATCGAAACAATACAAACAGTTATTTAAAAAACAAATCCAAAAGTTTTCATAGCTACCTGGGGCAGTCACGAATGCAAATTTCGTTTACCTACAATATTACAATTACAGGGGCCTCCCTTCCCGGTCCGGTCTAGGAATTTTTCGGGTTGGAAAATTTCTCAACTTCCCTGGACATAGAAGTATGATTGGACTTGCCACACAATTATAACAATGCAAAAATGGTACAGGCATCGAAAGCTCACAATTAATAACTGTGGAAGTGCATCTAGAACACTAAGTTGAGAGCACGCAATAAGCTAATATGCGATATGCAATAAGCTTGAAATGCAAAGAAGAAGAAGAATAAAAAAATTACACATGCATTAAGTATATTTTCAAACTCCCTTGACTACTTAAATTACAACCCAAAACAGTTTAAATAGAGTCTTAAAATATTGGTACGGCCAGTTTCGTCGATTTATAGCGACTGTAACATGGTCACGACGCATGGTAATCCAGTCGCATAGGAGTATTGAGCGAAAACCCAAAACTTAAGTTTTCATATATACACACTTAATCTAGCTCGGTAAAATCTCCAACAGTCGATTACCTCGGCATTTACTTTTGATATCTCTGCAAAATATCTGATTGTTAGCTGATATTGCTGCAAATAGTTATTTGTTAGCTGAGTATCGGCAATTGTTTTACTGAATCTCAGCAAAATAAATTGCAGAACTACTCGGCTTTTGGAATCTCGGCCAAAAAATTTGAGTGTGTATATAACTCAAAAACGTAAAAACATTATGCGACCTCTATCTACCAACCATGAAAATAAAAAAAACGTATAGAATCAATGTTTTTCAATACAATTATCATTTGATATTTTGATTTTTGAAATCGTAATTTTTGAAAAAAAAACATTTTTTCGGACCACCCTAACATGGGAATGGTCACCCTAATGACAAAATAATAAAAAAATATCTTGTGATAACAACAAAAACTAGCAAATTTTACGAAATTCAGAGAACCACTACATCGTTTTGCTATGGAATGGCTGAAATGCTTCTCAAAATGCTGGAGAGGATTATCTTTTGGAATTCCCTTGAAACTCTCCTTGGAAATTTCTTCCGAATCTGGATAGCTACTGCTGAAATTTCCTAAAAAAACCCACCCAACATTTTTGATATTTCTTCAAAATTCTTATGAATTCTTTTTAGGAATTCTCTCGAAGCTATCCTATTAGCTTAAAATTCTGCAATACTATGAATAAGATTCCCTTGAAAGTATTATCCATGTTTCCTTGCAGCCTCCTCAGAATTTCTCTTTGATTAATTCAGTGCCAACATTTCAAAGGGGCGTATTTGCTTTTATAAACAATGGCTTTAGCCGTCAATTTCTCGCGAATGAAATCTCACCCCTCCAAAATAACAATGCTAGCTCGAGAGGAAACATTTATCTACCTATTGGTGTAATTATTTTTCATGAGTGAGCTTTAATTCGCGAGAAATCGACGGCTAACGCCATTGTTTACAAATGCAATTACGCCCCTTTGAAATGTTGGCACTGAATTGATGAATCTAAATTTACAACAATTCGGCCTACTGCTCTTTGAATAATGTAAATTTCAGAATTAAAAGTACGGACTCAAAACAATTATCTCCAATTATGGCAACTATGAACCCTCAATAATTTACAAAATTCTGGAAACTAATTTTGTTTCTTATTAAGGGCAAGTAGGGGTTTCTGTATTTAAAATAAAATGCCATAGCTTTTTTCCAGTTTCTGAAAACTATTATGTCGGTATTAGATTGTTTTACCATTTTTGACTGTTTATTTGCAACCGTGAAAAATATGTTGAACATCCGGGAAAAGCCAGGAAAAACCAGGAATTCAATTTCTTAAATTTACTGGCCACCCTGAAAACATTATGTTCTCATAAATCAGAATTTCAGAATTTCGACTTCTCGTTATTAAAATGCTCTGGCATACAAAACCACTGGATAATTCAAGGATAATAAGGAGGTACCAAAACACAAACACGTAATTTTTGTAGCACTGATTAGTTTGTTGTGCGATAACTTGGAAAATCAATGTTTCAAAAGTGTGCCGTTTTATGTGATTTTTTTTTTTTTTTTGCAAATCCGTATTCTTCGACGTACTAAAAGCACAACTGATTTGGTCCCTACGATACCATGATACGGGTCTCTTTCCTCATCCGGTCTAGGAAATCTTGCGGGTCGAACATTTTCTTGTCTTTCTCATAGGGCACAGAGTATCATTGTGCTTTTACCACACGTGATACACATTTATGCATTGGGATAGCATCGATTAATAACTGCGAAAGTGCTTCAATGAGCATTCATTCGAGGGCAGGCTAGCAAAAAGAATAAGACAGACAACCAGCTCATATCTGTTCCTCTGTGTTATCCCATAGTCTCGACCATGACCGATGAATCTTCTATCTATCGAAATAATGATAACATTCATCTTTACAGCATATTTGGTTTAATCAGTTAAAATAGATGGGATTCTCAATCAGTATTAACTAGAAAAATCATCCATCAAGTGTATATCCACAGGTCCATTTTAAAAGATTTCTTATATTCAGTGGAAGATGTATCGATCCAGATCGGACATAATTTGGTAGGCTTTTGTTTTAAATCATTTTTAAATTAAAATAACAGGCATGCCTGTATAAGCAAAACCAATTACGAAGAAGAAAGATTTAAATGGAAAATTGATCAAATTGCTTTCAATTTACGGTACCTAAAATTTTAATTCATCACAAAGAGCATCGAAAGCATAATCGACTGTGTAGAACAGCTTTCTGCTCCAGCAACAAACAAAAAAATGAACAAGGAATTAGGTTAAGCTGGTGGGTAATAGTTCCACCTGCTGAGCCACCAGCGTCGAAGGCCTCACTGCCAAAACAAGACACGAACCCCCCCCAAACAATACGGTAAATGCTGGTTCACTCCATCTTATTTTGCCAAGCTAATAAAGCTGGTGAATTTTATGTTGCGTTTTGAATTCGATCACTGGGGAGATTAGCTTTTATGTCAGTCTGATTTCGGTGGGTTGTCCTAGTTTAGGAAGGAGTGAAATTTCACCTAGCAATCATGTGTTCTGCCAACCTTCGGAGATCATTACGCAAGCTTGTGTTGTCATACTAAACAAACAAACGTAGGAAGTTTATGATACTGATTAGATCAGCCACCAGTAAGCATGATCCAATTCACACGGCTCTGCATCCAGCGGTGGTAATTGAATGCACAAATATGAAACACAAATTCTAGTCTGCGCGTACTATAAGTCTCATTCAATGAAGTGTACGAAAACAGAACGGCGCGACCAGCACTACCCACATCATAGAGCCACACATCTAGCTTTAGTTTGTTAGAATTCCGCACAGCACCAAAATGGCCCTCTCGCTCGCCAGCCTAAAACATTCCTTCTAAGGACCATTCGTATTTGTAATATGAGCGTGCCCTTCCCACGATCCAGTGTCCATGCAGATGCTGATCGTGCGCTGCCGCTGCCACTGTTGCTGACGGTGATGTTGATGACTAGTGCTCCAAGGCTCTAGTCTAGGGTCTCTCAGATGGTTATTATGGTCACGATCGCACTCGTATGTATACCAATCACAATGACGATGCTGCTGGTAGTGGTGGCTAGCAACCATAACATGAATGAGTATGTCCTCTGGAATGCCGTCCCGTCGCTTCACCACACACAGTTCACAGATCCAGTCCATCCACATCTCTTCACTCACACGAAATCCCGGAGAGAAAGATCCGCCGCGTAAGGCGACGACGATTAAGGCGAAGGAAATGGAAACGACAGAAGAAGAAAGCACACGTCCACGTACTCGCGTTCGCCTCAACGTCTTTGAGCTCTCATTTCCCAGCGAATCAAGACAGATATTATACAAAATTTATTTCGGGAATCATCAATCTCTTACATTAGATTTCACCGCACAGCAGGCTCACAAATCCGATCGCACTTGATCTGGAGCTGGACGATTGATTGACAACGCACTAATCTCGCAAGCACAACACTCACTTGACCACACACTACAGTTTCGTTCGAAGATTCGAAAATTCCTTCGAACCCGTTATATCTCGTGGTACACAACAGTGCCTCAGCTCTGTGCCACTGTGTTTTCTTTTGCTTTCTCGCTCTCACTCACTTCTCGAAGTAGCCCGTTTTCGGAGGGCTTACCAGCAGGGGACTTTTCTCTGACGTTTTCCGTCTCACTCTGTCCCACTTATGTCGCGCGATAATAGGTAAAAGAAATCACAAGATCGCGACCAGATCACGGGACCAAAAACCGACTTGTCGTACGCGCTGCGAGTTGAAGACTGACGGTGGATCGAGCCTCCCCCAGCGGGATTCAAATTCAAGACGGCTGTGATCAAGCTTTGGCTCTCTCAGAAGAGGCCAAGCAAAACCCGTTCAGTTAGTGAGAAATTGAAAACATGACCAGCATGAGAAAGAGTAGCAGAAGGAGGAAACATACCACAGTTGAGCCCGCGTGAAAACATGGACCCGAAACACATGGGCGTCCGACTTGTGTGGATGGGGGGGGGGCGCGCTCTGTAACGCAGTTCAGGTGGTTTTTTGGTACAGGTGGATGATTTTAACTGGAGAGAAAGAGCATAAGGTTTATTGCGAGAGAAGGTTTGGAAGTATCTCCGGTGCAGCACATGTCTGCAAGTAGGTAGTTATTATTTCATTTCTGATTGATGGGTGCGATTGAGATTGCAATGCGTGAGGTTCTGTTTTAGCTGGTGTATTTTTTGGGTGAAGAAGGTGAATCGCTTATGAAGCGGTATGTTGTTCTTCGTGGATATGTCGGTATGTCCCAAATATTGGAATTGTTCATCTGTCCTCACCGTAACAAGATACGATACGAATAGACTGGACCAGCGTTTCTCAATCTACGGGTCGCGACCCATCGAAGGGTCACAAGCTGTCCGTAGGTGGGTCGCAGGACTTCAGATTTTCAAATTTCATGGATAAAATATCTGACAACATATAAATTTTCTTATAATCAATCATTTGTGAAAAGCCTTTGGTGTTTGTTGAATTATTTAATTTTAATTCCCCTAAATTGTTTTTTTTTTTGTTATAATCACCTTCATAACGCGAATAGATCACCTTTTCGTTGTGCGTTTATGTGTGCAAGATTTACCACGTAGCCCTGATAACTTTAAATTAGGGGAACATGATTGTTTAGTAATCAAAGGAACACATCTTAGTCCTTGTTACTTTTTGTGTCTTATTAATAGTGACAAAACTCAGGTTGCTCTACCGAAAATGATCTAGAAACAAAGAAATAGTTAGTTAGTTAGTGTGGTTCTTAATGTTCTATTCGTTGTTCGCTAGTAGTTGAGACCTGGGAGGGAGAAGCAGATAGCACACACGGAATTCATTGCATACTTGTTCTTCTTGTCATGAAAATTTCGCCATTGAAATCAAATCAAAATAGGCGTAGCAAAATAGCGTGTTTTGCTTTGAGCGTGTAGTGATTGTTTGAGATTGTTCAGTGTGCAGTGAGAAACTGTACTTTTCTGTTTGATGTTTTGACAAAACCTTGGCTAATGGTATCTTTCAATAATGATTTGTGTGTATTTTGAATGAATTAAAAAGAAACGGGGTCCCATTGAATAAAATAGCAGGAAACGACAGTTTGTCACAAATTACTTTACACAAGATTTCAATACCACCTTGTGCATTCTTGTTCAACTGTAAGAAAAGCACCATAAAATTACTTGGCTCCAAATGACAGTTCGTGACAGCAGCCGTCTGGCTGCATTTGACGTTCCATTTTTCTCTCTTCGCGACTCTCCCTCAGGTTGAGACTAGGCCCAACAATCGCCTATTGAAGAAACGGCTTCTTGACGATTTTATTGAACTGCATGCTTAATAATAGGGGAAATGGATGTATTGTCGACCTAAATGCCCCTAATTTGGGCCCATACATAAATTCAGCAATCGACTAAATTTTCAATAGCGAACAAAAATATCCATTAGAACCGTCCCAATGACGCGTTCATCTAGATAAAATTAATAAATAGCAAATGTTTAGCCAAGGGCCCAATCTTAGATCCATAGGCCAACATTAGAGCCATTTCCCCTACTTGTATTATTTTTAAAATGACTTCTGTTCAGGTTTTGTTCACACAAATCTGGAGAATTTATTGATCCACAACATTGAACTACTCGTTGTATACGGTATGTCGAGAAGCTTTTTTTCGATTTATATGAGTTGTAACAGAGCTTATTTGAGTGTTTATTATACACCATTTGTTCCTCAAACAGCGTTTAATGATACACTAATTTACCCGAAAATAAAAACGGGAGAAAGGGTTGTTTGTTTCTTTACTGATTGGCTTCATGTTTCTGACGAGGAACGCACCACACAGATATTAGAAAATTTATTACATCCATACATGTCGTTGCGTGGGATTCGAACCATCCGATCACCAGCCGCTTGCCTTTCCATCTGAGCTAATCCTAAAATACATCATATGGACAGCTCAATAATCAAAAATGTACGCCCTTACATAAAAGTCCGGGGAGCTGGGAGACAAAGTCTTATCGAGAAAATCAGTCAAATTCTCCCGACACCACACTTGGACGATATTCACCGTGTCGGCCGGTGCACCGTCCTGTTGAAAGACGTAATGATCCTTCCCGTAGAGGTCACGAAGTGCCGGGGCCACAACCTTCTCTAGAATCTCGGTTTTATAGTATGCGGCGTTGATTTTCACGTTTGGCTCGATAAACACCAGTGGGAGCTTCCTACGCGGCGCTCTGGAATCGCTAAATGTTTATTTGCGACGGAGGGCCAACGTCGGCGCCCACAGCCGATCATTTTGGACATTGTGCGGCTGTTGCAAGACAAAGAGTTTCTCATCAGAAAACACGAACTCCTGACCTGCGTGCCGCGAAAGTATCAATTTGGAAGTCGCAGTACTTCTTCATCGTGCGCGGTAAACAAACAACAAATGACAGCAAGACGACACCGTGCGCGTTGGTTAGCCTATATATGAGGCTAAAGCTGACACCAATACCAATACACAGACTGCACATGGTGCGCACCTACCCAACGATGAAAAGCTGTATTCGAACTTGTTGAACACCCTATTGTTGAGATGGTAAAAATCAGGCAATTTCCTCTGTGTTATTTTTGACAGTGCATACGTTTGCGAGAGAGAGAGAGAAAGGTGAGCTTTCGCTCAAGATGAGCAGAGAGCTCGGCAACAAGCAGCGCGACAAGAGAGCTTTTGCTTGATGGTAGGATTTGAAGAGATATCAATCACTAGTTTAACATGTTGCTTGGCAGTTAGGACGAAGAGAAGAAACATTGTAAAACCATTCTGTTTTGGAAAAGCTGATCAATAAATATTGGTGAAAAGTATTAAATCTATTTTTCTCAATAGTGTTTATATCACTAGGTTGTGGTGAGTGTGCTCGGCGTGAGTTTTCACGAGAGTACTGTTCCCTTTGCTTTCCTCGGTCGAGGATTCGGCGTTGTGTTTGTAAGTTGTTTGAAGTCTGAGAGGGAATTCCTCAAGACTGTTCGATTCTCCATTTTGCTCATCTCAATAGGTTATGGGCCCAGGTGCCGCATAAAGTTACGGCCAGAGTAATGGAAACCAGACCACGACGTACGCTGGCACCGTTGTTCAACGGGGAGGAGAAATCTTTCCCGTTCTGGAAGGTGCGCATGGAGCAACATCTTAAGCAGGATGGTTTGCTACATACTTTGGAGAAAACGGTTGCGGAGGAGGATTTCGCTGAGCCGGTGGCAGGTGCCACGGCGGAAGCGGAGGAAATCCGTAAGAAGCAACTCGAGTTGCGCATCAAACAAGAGGATGCGGCTCTGAACGAGCTTTGGACAGCGCTTTTGGACGAATCCATGAGCCATGTGCTACAGTGCCGATCGGTGAAGGAAGTGATGCAAAAACTGCAGGAGGTTTATCAACCTCAAGGGGCAGTTGCAATGATCGGCCTGCGATCCAAGCTGTATTTGCTGAGCAATCAACGATTCAAAACCTTGAAGGATTTGTTTGCTTCTCATCATGACATTGTACGCCAGCTTGAGAGCATGGGAGAGGCAGTGGATCATATGGAGCAAATCCGTACGCTCCTTGTTGCCATCCCTGAGCAATTTAAGCATTTGCTGGGCGCGTTGTCGGTGATTCGGAAGCAGGATTTGCAAATGATGTCACTAGAGCAAATAAAGCGCATCTTTCTGGATGCTGACGAGGCTGCATCGCGAGAACCTTCAGGTTTACCGTCACAGACAGCATTTGTTGGTCACAGGGACAGTCGAAAGGAGATTCAAAGCAGGAATCCGAGGGAAAACTCTCGGGATAATAGAAGGCAGGTTGTTTGCTATGAATGTGGCAGAGCCGGCCACAAGCGTCGGAATTGTTTCCGGCTCAAGAAGAAAATGCGCCAGGAAAAGTCTTCAATGGACAACCTCGCGAATGCCGTCTCGAATGTGGCTTTGATGGCTCAGGCTGCTCCCATCATCAGCGATCCCGTACCACGTCGAGAAGTTGAAATTCAAAAGGATGAATCAAAATCGGATGTTCCGGATGCTGGTTCGATTGAACGTGCTTCTGCTGAAAATCATGCTTCAAGTGTAGCTAATGTAGCTGAAGTGGAGCGTCCAAATGGATTCAGAGTGCAAATTCCCCTGGAGAGGATCAACATGGTCCGTGTGAGGCAAATTGAGGAGAAGCTGAGAGACCAGACAATTCAAGAACTGCCATGGAATGAGATGCCGGTTACATTACCTGTTTTCGTGGATTCTGGTGCGAGTGCGCATATGCTCCGAGAAATGCGTTATTTCAGCCATCTGTGGGAAATGGTGGGAAATGAACAGTCCATTTCCATGGCCAATGGTGAAAGGGTGAAATGTAAGGAAATGGGTAATGCTGTGCTTCGAAGTGATGTTGGTAATAAACGATTCCGATTGAACCTGTACAACTCGTATTTCATTCCTGAACTGCATTGTAATCTGATTTCGGTTTCGAAAATTGAGGAAACAGGTAAGCGAGTTGTATTCTGCAATGGAAGGGTTGAAATTTTAGATGAATTCGGACAGGTGATTGCGAAGGGCAGGAAAGTCAATGGACTTTATGCACTTGATGTGAGCCTGGAAGAAACTCAAAATGAGAATTATGATTATGCAAATCTAGGAAAAATTTCAAGCAATATTGGTATTTGGCACAAACGATTCGCTCATCTGGGAGAAACCAATTTGAAAAAGTTAGTCAGGAATCATATGGTTGAAGGGCTTGATATTGGACTTGGAAGTGAGGAGCTTGATCCTATTGTATGC